AAACAGGCTTAAATTGGCAGGTCTGATAGAGATTTATCCACCTACTTAATAAAGCACATAAGCTAAAGTTTATTCGAAAGGTTAACTAAGGAGGGTTATCGAAGTAGGCTTAAGTTGGCAGGTCTGATAGAGATTTATCCGCGAACTTAATAAAGCATATAAACTATAAAGTGTATTTGAAAGATTAACGAAAGAGGGTTATCGAGATAGGCTTAAAACGAATTCGCGAATTATACGTACATACATTTAATATTCTCCTGTTATATTCCATCCATTTTTTTTTTTAAATTTTCTTTTTCTTCACTTTTATAGAAATTTAATTTTTTTTAAAAAAAGTGAAACTTTTACTGGTTCTTTCAAGCTTAAAATCCAAACAGTTATCTTCTGTAAATGATTATCTGAAGAAGAAGAAGATAAAAAAGAGAGTAAAATCGATGATTCACTCTTGAAAGGTAGTGTCAAGGCCGTAACGCGTGATGAATTAAAGATGATAAAAAAATGCGAAGGTGTTCTACTCCTTAATCGAAATTTCTTCTAACCAGGGATGTTCTTAATTTTTAAGAGGATTAATGATATTTCGGCACTTCAATGACAGCTGCCATGCTTATTGGGATGAGTGACAGTAGAAAAAGATGAGATTTTGGCGTGTTCTGGGGCAATTTCGGCTAATTTTGACCTTGACTTAATTTTGTAATGGTTCGTATTGCCAAGTTAAACGCTTCTGGAAAGAAAGAAGAAGAAACAATTTAACCCTTTGGTCTCATATTATGAGATCAAGGGGAATAACGAAGATGTAATGTAATTTCCGTCTTGTAGTTTCTTTAAATAATGCAGTTTTTATGCAAAAAAGAAAATAGATTTGCATGTTCACTACTTTTTTTTTAATTAACCTTTTACTCGAATAATTTTGTAAGGTAAGCGGTTGAAGTTATTATTACTCACACTTTTTTCGTATTTTTCTATATCTCTGAAACTAACTATTCTAGTGAATTAAAAAAAATCCGCACTCATCTTAAAGGTTATTTGATATTTATATAGTTTTAAGCAGCCTTTTTAAGAGAATATCTAATGTTTTTTCAGGGATATATATATATATAATTTGTTCTGACAATCAGTGTTNACTATCCAATTTTTTCTTCATCCCACTTCTGAAAATTGTGGGGACGGCATGAGTGGTCGTCTTAAATAAAAGACACGTTCTTTAACAAAAACATATAACACACACAGGGATTAAATTGACACAGGGACAGACGATTAACAATTAAATAACAAAAAATAATAATAAGTAAGGAACGTCTTTAAAAGTTTTGTATAATATGACTTCTCTTTGAAGTGCATATCAACACGTCTTTTCCGGTCCGTTGTCAAACACGCTCTCTCCGGGAAATCCCCACTGCTTCCTCGTCGTGCACAGGGATGAACTTTCAGCTTACATTGACTGGCGGTACTTCTAACTTACGGATCTGAGAACTGAGATTAGGTTACAGGACAGGAACTGACACCATATATATATATATAAATATATAATTTGTTCTGACAATCAGTGTTCGCTTTTTATATCTGAAATAGCAGCCATGCACGTTAATTTATTTTAATCTCAGGTGATTAATTAAAAATAAAAATTAGAAAATTATGGTTTTAAACTTTAATATGTCTCAATAATAGGTCTCATATTACAATCACATGTTCTTAAAATCTAGCTACGTTCTTAATATCTAGCGAAAGATGTTCTTAAAAATTATCCTTCTCAAATAAAATTTAGTGCTAATTGTGTTGGTGAAATGCATTATTTTTTTTTTTTTTTTGAATAATTTTGTGACGTAAAATTGATAACATGTATAAAACTTCTAACCATAAATAGATAACACATTAAAGCTATGTGTCTGCGACGCAATTGAAATCAAAACATCTTTTGATTTGTTTTATTTATTTATTTATTTATTTTTTTTTTTGCTTTCCTTCAATTAACCGAATTCCTTAGTAACGTTGCAAAACTTTTCTGATGTGGAATTTCATGAATCAATCTGGACGAGCAATGAGTGTCGTCTGCTTTATCAGTTCTTCCTTATTTGCATATTTTTGACACGTTAATCGTGTGAACATTTACCGGAAATTGTTTTTCATCATTCTGATGTTTTGTCTGGCCAGTGCTTCCTTTTCACGCTGTTTCCGTTTCAATCATATGATCAAAACAACACTTAGTAGATGAATTTGTTGGTCTTACGGTTCTTGAAGGCATTCTACTAATTTTATTAAGACTAATTTATCAATCCCTAAATTTGTCATTCTTTAAAACTAGTAAAAAAAAATATTGTGTTATCTTTAACCCATTAACGAAGAATTTTTATTAAACATATTTTTCACACTTTTTTCGTTATTTGTACTAGTTTAGATCAAAATAAATAATGAATGTTATATTTTGCATTTAAATAATTTATGGTTATGAAATACAGCATGAAACGTTGGCGACTTTTTCTGTGTTAAAAGCAAAATCTTGCAAATATGGCTCACTTCCAAAAAATAATGTTTCGAATTTGCAGTTATTCATCATTGAATTTTATTTTAATTCACAAACTTAACCCCTTGGGGGCGGTTGATTCAGGAAAGCATTCGTACAAAATCAGAATCAAGTTGTAATTAAATAAAAAACGGTAACTTAAATGTAGCCGTTGCTAATTTGACAGACTTACTTTGCTTTTACTTTAATTATTGTTAGTTTAATGATATATATAATCAATGTTAATTCAAAGTATAACTAAATAGTTTTATTTTGAACAAAGTAATGGTGAATTAAATAAATCAAGCAATTATAACTCCGCCCACAAATAAACTGCTAAAGAATTACTTTGATTACCAGTTTTATCTTTTTACCCTGATTGACACGGTTTTATGCTTTCACGTATTTATGACAGTCGGCTCGAAAGGGTTAACGAAGAATTTTTATTAAACATATTTTTCACTCTTTTTTCGTTATTTGTACTATTTTAGATCAAAATAAATAATAAGTGCTATATTTTGCATTTAAATATTTATGGTTACAGCATGAAACGTTGGCGTCTTTTTCTGTGTTAAAAGCAAAATCTTGCAAATATGGCTCGCTTCCAAAAAAGTAATGTTTCAAATTTGCAGTTATTTAGATCTAAGGGAAACAGTTATTCATCATTGAAATTTATTTTAATTCACAAACTTAATTGTTGAATTGTTTGCTTTACCATGCTGATTTTTGCCACGCATTATGAAAAAGCGTGCTTTTCACATTGTTCTATTCAACGTTTTTACAATTCATTCAACCACAATCTATCTCGGTCCATAGCGTATGAAAGCACCAATAATTTTACATGTTTGAATAAAAAATTGACAGTCCGCATGTGTGTCTACTGAGCTGCGTTTGGTGAGATTATTGCACTTTCATGTGCAACTCGGCTGCATTTTGCAAGATATTCTGAATTTCAGGCTTCATTTTCCAGCCTCTGATATCGAATTGAAAAATCTCTTGATCATTTTACAATGGCTAATATAATCAAGAAAAGAGTTCTTTGTCAGAAATTAGTTATTTTATCATGATCATGTAAAGTCTTTGAAAATTATTTTTCATTTTGTTATTGTATATAGTGCTTAAAATTATTTCTTGATTCTTTAATCCTTTCGCGCCGACTGTCACAAATACGTGCCAGCACAAAACCGTATCAACCAGGGTAAAAAGATGAAACTGGTAATCAAAGTAATTCTTTTGCAGTGTGTTTGTGGGCGGAGTTATAATTGTTTGATTTATTTAATTCACCATTACTTTGTTCAAAATAAAACTATATAGTTATACTTTGAATAAACATTGATTATACTAACTTAGAACTGTATATGACCTCTAGACTAAATGCCAAAACAGTATAGATGAATCGGTTAGAAGCGCTTCGCGCTTAACACCGAGATTCCACTCATATCAATCAATCAATCAATCAACATTGATTATATACTTTCTATCCCCCTGACTGGCTCCTCATCTCCTCTATCATCATTACCTTTTTCCACCTTCTAGAGTTGGCCCAATCCTTCGCGGAATTACTGCGGCTCATTCTGATTCAATTTACTAATTCAACTACTAACAATGCTAATCACTCACTGCTTATTTGTCAATAATTATAAATAAAAAAAATTAAATAATGATTTATAATGAATAATAATTTTTTTTCCTCCATTGTTTATGTTATTACCTGTCTGTGTTATCCTTGTTCTATCTTCTTATCCACNAAAACACAACTGCTTCCACTCCGAAAATTTTACTAGGAATAATATTTACCTTTTAGTTTAATTAATAAGCTGAGTTTTAAATATGTTTACTAAATTCATTAACTTAGATAAAACAACAATATAAATTATTTCAAAAGGAACTAGACTAATACATTTCCAACCTGACGAGTAGCGACTTATAACAACACACTTCGTTTAATGTTTACTTGTTGTTAGAAATTAGGTTCACAGAAAATGTTGTTTACTAGTTAAATTTAGTAGGAATAACATGACCTGTGACGTAGGCTATAGTATACCCAATTTTCTTTAACTGCTAACATTAAGTTTACTAATTCAAATAATTTTAATATCAATGGCCTTTGATTCAGTTTGTAATCAGATAATTTACGGAGGTGGCCTTTTTGGCCAGATACTCCGGTGCACCAATTATTAGTTTCCGCATTGATTATATATATGATTAAGCTAACAATAATTAAAGTAAAAGCAAAGTAAGTCTGTCAAATTAGCAACGACTACATTTAAGTTACCGTTTTTTATTTAATTACAACTTGATTCTGATTTTGTACGAATGTTTTTCTGAAGCAACCGTCCCCAAGGGGTTAAAAAGTACTTAAAAGGTACTTATTTTTGATGAAAGATTTGGTTACGCACCCAGACGACGAATTGTGTTTTTTTTCCTATAATATACCAATTTGACTCTTATTATCAATTTTATACCTTTTGTATTTAAATTTACTGTTTTTGTTCATTTCTAGAACGGTAGCCCCCAGCATACTTCAGTTTTTACAGTTCAGCAAAGACCCTGGACACCTACCAAGAGACGAGGACCCATCGCAGCTGAGTGGAATACTCCAGGACCTGCTGACATTACTCTCCCCACCTCCTTCGGTAAAAGATTTTTTTTAATATAATTTTACCGTACAATCCAAGAAAACATAGAAAATTGAACTGTAAAAAGCGGTCGAAACTCAATTCAATGTTACTTAATATTGCTTTGTTTATTCAATTGTAACTACCACTATGACTTGCATTTCAAATTATTCATATTCGGAGCAAAACCAATATTTTGCATTTACTTTCAATTGTAAACTGAAAACAATGTGCTAGAGAAAGTTGCTAATTTTAATCTCTTTTAATAAAATTTAGAATTTTATTAGTTACCACTCTTTGTATTTCAAATCGCCCTGGTTGAATGAATAAATATTTTTATAATTCTGTAACTTGTGGTGCAAGTTTTTGATCTGTTTCTCTGATCTTTTGTCAAAGAATAAAAATGCCCTACTTAAATTTAGAAATTGGTTGTCAATTTATGTTGAAGATAAGTGAAATTATAAGTTTTGTTTTTCAATTTGCATTAAAAATAACTAGCTAAGTATCAAAATATATTAAATTTAAATCACTTACACGGTGTGTTGGCCAATAAATATTCTTCGGTTTATAAATACACTGAAAAATATTAGCTTTACAAAAAAAGTACCAACAATGGGAAAGCAATAAATTTTAAATAAATGTCTTCGAGTTATTCAGTTTAATACTACGCCGTGATATTTTATGCATAGATTTCTTTTGTGTCCAAATAATTTTACCCATGTTAACTATATAGTCAACATTTAATCTAATTGCTCAACTAGAACGTCTATCGATAATTGAATAAGTTAAAATTATTATATATAATTTTAATTTCTCAATAAAAAGTGGTATTGTTTTTATTTTACCTTTAATACATTAGGGCAGTGTTTCCCAAACTTATGACTTTTGTGTACCCTTTCTAAATTTTTCGCAACTCTGTGTACCACCAATAAAAAAATGAATGTATTTTTTTCTATAAAAAAAATGCACAAAAGTTTAAAATCACAACTGGCTGTTGACACCACTAATTATTAACTGTTAACTCTGCAAAAAAATGACCAATAAAAAATTCATAAATGTTCATGGCTAGCTTTGTTTTTAAATAAAAATTTTTGAAATTTTCGTTTGTTGCAAGATATTTCGAATAGGAACCCGTACCCCCGCTAAACTGTCCCCGTACCCCTGGGGGTACGCGTACCACACTTTGAGAAACACTGCATTAGGGCAAAAATTATCAGCTAAAAGAAAAATTAACATATTTCTTATCTAATGGATTGTTTTTTAAGATATTATAAATTAGTAACTCTGGGTCACAAATTTTTTTGCTTTATGTTGCATGAAACTTTCGAATAGACATTTAAGCTTCACTGATTTCAAGTATTTGTATAATAACACAAAAAATTTGTTTCCTAGTGTTATTATTAACGTTTTAAACGCGATTATATTGGATAGTATAGACATGCTGAGTTGCGCTTACTGAACTAAATGATAAAAAGTTACCAAGTTTCATTTTTGGCATGCCATCATATCCAAATATTGTACTTTTAATAATTTAATTCGTTGGTTTATCTAGACATCCACTGAGCAATCTCCTACAGTCGAGAAATTANCAAAAAAACCTTCGTCTGGAGATCGCACAAGACATGCTGGAAACTGTGAACGGTGATCCCGACTTTATGAACACAGTGATTACAGGTGACGAGTCATGGGTTTATGGATATGACCCAGAAACCAAGCGCCAGTCAACACAGTGGAAGCATCCTTCATCCCCGAGGCCCAAAAAAGCAAGGCAAGTTCGCAGCAATGTCAAGGTCATGCTAACTGCCTTTTTTGACTCCAGTGGCTTAGTACATCACGAGTACGCACCACACGGTACTACAATCACCAAGGAGTACTACCAAGAGGTTCTGCGTCGCCTTCGTGACGCAGTGAGGCGCAAGCGCCCGGATCTGTGGGCAACAGGCAGTTGAAAGCTCCATCATGATAACGCTCCCGCACATTCTTCCCATTTAATTCAGAACTTCTTGACAAAACACAGCACACCAGTGGTTCGTCAACCTCCCTACTCTCCGTACGTGGCTCCATGCGATTTTTGGCTTTTCCCAAGGCTGAAAATGCCACTAAAAGGGACCAGATTTCAGACCAGAGAAGACATTATGCAGAGACCATCTGAGAGCCATACCGAAGGAGGACTTCCAGCGATGCTTTCAACAGTGGCAAAAGCGTTGGGAGAAGTGTGTGGCAGCCCAAGGGGACTACTTTGAAGGGGATTTGTATTAAATAATTATATCATAATAAACGTTTATTTTATGAACAAAAGTCGGATACTTTTTGATCACACCTCGTATTGGATAGTATAGACATGCAGAGTTGCGCTTACTGAACTAAATGATAAAAAGTTACCAAGTTTCATTTTTGGCATGCCATCATATCCAAATATTGTACTTTTAATAATTTCATTCGTTGGTTTATCTAGACATCCACTTGCACATTGTTGGTTGATTTATTTAAAAAGAAAAAAAAAAGTTAATCAGACGGATTGGGGTGCAAAATCTCTATTTTGCAATTTTTCCATCCGATTAACTCCGTCTTTCCACTTAACTCTGAGCAACATCGCGCATGCACCACTTAAGTAATTACTTCGCGCTTGCGCAGTGTGCATTACTATTATGCGCATTACCGATGCAAAATCTCTATAAATATGAGCCACGCATCCTTAAAAAGAAGTGTAATTAGCCCAATGATTAGTGGAATACTCTTATGTGACAAAAGTGGTAGCATATTTCTTTCTTCAACTTAAGACTTCTGCTTTACAAACGCTCCGTACTTAGACCTCAGATCCAAATATAAATATTTATATCATTAATACAATATGGTAAACATAAGTACTCTTGCTTCTTCAAAACAAATCCTAATAATAAAATGCTTGTGATGCCACTTTTTCCAAAAAGGATGTAAAATCTCTCTATTTACTTATCTCTCCAGCCGGTTAAGTACTTCCGAGGTTGACTTTGAGCAACGTTGCGCATGCTGTACTTAACACGTTCACGCCGGGGTGACCCACCGGTGGGTCACGCTAGATTGTCTCATCTTGGCAGCGCACCGGAGTAAAAACTGGTAACAATAAATTTCAGTTTTTAGTTTTTTTCCAGGAATAATAAAAATCCTTAACTACCAATTGTTTTTAACGGATGCAACTTTTATATTGAATTGCTTCTTCGCCGTGATAAATTACCTTACAGTGAATTGATATTGTTGATAATAGATTAACTCCTCCCGAATATTATCTAATATTGAAATAGTTCTTGCACCAGTATTCTCTCTTTTCCCGTACCATTATTTTTACCTCACGGCGTGAACGTGTTAAGAGATTTCTTCAAGCTTGCTCAGTGATGATCTACTAGGTGCATTATTGATTCAAAATCTTTATAAATGTGAACCGTGCATCTGCAATTTCGGTAGATTGTTTTTTGCTTACATTGAAGCAAGATGTATATAGCCAGCTGCTTAAGAAAAGAAGAAAAAAAAAACTGGAAGATTTAAAAGAAGTGCAATTAATCTACTAACTGCAGAGATGCCAACNTATCATATAAGCCATTGGGATAAGCCATAAAAACCTTATGTATCGAATTTACTAAATGAAGAATCATACATTGAAAGACTACCAATTTGACATCTCTATAATCACTGGAATGTGTACACGCACTGTGCTTCCTGATCATGAATTCAAGTTCAGCAGGTAGTGTGGTAAACGTACTGGTCCACACGGTTTTTCATAAGTAGTCCGATCAGACCACTGTGAAGGATATCCACTCACTGAACGAGTCATTTAATACAGAATATAGTTAAAATAAGAAAGTGGTAGTAAATATATGACTAAAAATTTATTTTATTTATGAATATTACTGGTTTGCCTTATTCACTTGTCAACCACTACAGATTCAATTCTCAAATATATAAGATAAACTGCTCTCAATTACTTTTATAAAAGGTTTTGGGTTCATGCGCACAACTGATTCACTTTTTAAACAGTCTGCGCGGACTACCAATAAAAGACCGTGTGGAAGCTTCTTGATGTAGGAGGTGATGACTGTGCCCAGGTTTCCCGCGGTCCTTGAAAAGTTTTAGTAGTGGTAAATTTAAGTTAATGCCAGAAGATATTACCTATTTTAAGATACCACTTGATAGCTAAGTAGTTTAGAAACCTGAATTACTTTCTTTGGAAAACAATTTTTAGTGGTGGTTACTCAGAAATTCAATATTTGCTTTATTTTCATGACCGCTATTTTAAAATTTTCAAGACCCGCGGGAGACCTGGCTTCAGATCCAAAAATAAATATTCATTTCATTAAAATAGTATGGTAGATGTAAGTAAATTTTTTCTTCAAAATAAATCCCAATAATTAAATGCGTGTGATCCCAATTTTTTTCATTTTTGCAAAAAGGAACCTTTTTTTCAAAAGATGTTTGCATTAAAATAGCTTTTTGGAAATTTTCAGTCATAGTTTACAACACTAATTTTGGAATTATTATTATTATTTTTTTATGACGGAAGAAAAACATTGCATGACTTTTTTTAAAATAAGTAAATAAAAAAGTAGATCTTCAGAAGGTAAGAAAAAGGAGGAAAAATAAAATTACACAACCATGTGGAATACTCTAATCCGCCTGTTCAGTCAGTAAACATACATCAATTTAAACACACTTTTACGCTTAAGAGAGCGGTTTTTTCCTCCTAAAGATAAGTTTACAGACTTTTAAAGTGCTCTCTTCGCTGCAGTTTAAATATTGCCTAAGAGTACTCGTAAATGAAATTAAACATTGCATTCAACAACGAACTCGAGTATTGAAGAGACATTGAGAAACAATCAGCAAACATGCACCATCCTTTAAAAGTTTATACTTTCCTCTCCAGCAAACCTTTGCTTTTTTTTAAATACTGGTATTTATGTTGAGATATTTATAAATGTAGTTAGTTTATTCAAATGGAAACCCATTAAGTGTCAAAACTCTCGAGTGTTCTTTTCTAAAAAGTTTAA